TATTTGGGCAATTAACCCCAAACTCAATCCTAGCCTTCCCTTTGTGATATGGAACCTTGTGGTACAATGTCAGAGAGATTCATACACTTACACACAAGTTATTGTCTGGAAACTAGAAAAATGCTCGTTATTGGCCCCTTTTTAGCCCTTAATTCCTAAACTGTTGGCCCCATAACCCCTAAAATAAATACCAAGGCCAGACTTAAAAATATTTCTGTTTGCCCAAACCCTACCCACCAGTCTCAGGTGTGGGTAGGTAGGTAGGGAAATTTTTTTTTTTTATACTTTTAGAGAAAAATAGGGGAAAAATTATTTTACCTTGTAAACAACTTTTAAAATGAAAGACTATTATAGAGTTTTGTATAAATTGTCAGACACATATATGCCAGGATCTATATGTACTATAAAGATCTTTTCTATAAACAGTTTTTTTTCAGCATTCCACCTCAATGTTCACACTTTTTTCTGAATGTTTACATTGTAAATACAGACAAACATTTTAAATGAGTTTATACTCAGTACTACGAGAGAAAAATATTTCACTGAAATAAGAAAAGAGATCACTAATAAAATCACACCAACAAGATGGAACTGCACCTTCACGAACAAAACTGCAATAGTACAATTGCTTATAGACTGTTCAAAATATAAGGAGCTGTTTGATAACTGTGAAAAATTCCAGGAAAATATTGAAAACAAAACCAGAAATATGTTATTCCAAATGCATATAGAAAGATTGAAAATTATGGATAACAAATAGCAAGACATATGATATATTTCATATACGTATATATATATATATATCTCAAAATGGAGGAAATGACAAACAAATGAAAATAGTGATTATCATGATTATCATAAGTGACATATATATACCGACACAGAGTCTGTCATATAACAATTGCAAGAAATGTAAAGAAGCTCTGGACAAATATTAAAAGCTATGAAAATGAAATTAAAGAATTAATAAAAAGGTCCCTGTAAATATGCCATGCATGATACTTTTATTGTTTTATATTTATATGTGCTGTACATATGTTGGAAGAAACTTTTTTGTTTTATTCTTTAAAATTTTAAAGTTAAGGAAAAACTCCATATATATTTGGAGGTTCTAATTAAAGGAGGCTCATACTAAGAAGAAGAAGTTTATTTGAATACAAAATTCAAATACAAAGCACTTGAACAAAACACTGTTGACAGAACTTCTGTCAGAATAATAACATTTTAATCAAATTTTAATGCCAAATCAAATTCCTGAACAACTTCCTCAAAGTCGGGCTCAATGAGTGTCCCAATCGGTCAGAAACAGTCACACAAATTTCAACAGTTTTCTGTAGCATGAAATCGTCATCACACACTTTATCAAACACCTCTTTCCATGTTTTTGTGTTTTCAAAACGATAGAATTTGTTGGAAACTATGGGTTTTGATTTTAATCCAACCTTTATTTGTACTAGACGGTAACATGTTGTTTTTCATCCATATCAATTGGAGGCTTTAATACATAACCCCAATTGTCCTGTGATAAAGCGCAGTCAGATCGGATCAGGTTATTCTATGCAACAAACTCAAGACGGATACTGATACGAAAACATCACGAATTTTGAATAAAAAAAGATTTTGACTTGGGTGCTTTTTTATGGGTCGGTCGGGTTAGGGCAACCCAACCTATTCTTTTTTATGGCCCAACCTTCTACTTGTGGTATTAAACATTGTCATACAATTTCAGAGCAAAAGAAATACTTATACACAAGTTAAATTCCTAAATGATTGGCACCATCATCCCCAAAATCAATCCCAACCTTCCTTTTGTGGTATTGAACCTTCTTAAAAAATTTCATAGAGATCCATTCACTTAAACTAAAGTTATTGTCCGGAAACCAATGTGTCTTCGGACGACAATGCAGACGACGACGACGACAACATCATATCATTATACGATCCCAAAAAATTTTTTGCGGTCGTATAAAAAAGGGGGTGGGGGCGGGGGAGAGTTTGAGGTGGTATGTGTACATAAAACTGGTTAAGTATGATTTCATAATTAAGATTTGTGTTCAAAATTAAGAAAATCCCTGGTTTGTTAGTACTTCGAGTCTTCGAATTCACATAACATATGTGATGATTTGTGCATACATTCCAGAAAAAGTTATCATTAAATAAAGGAAAGATTTTATACATGTTATACTACGAAATAATATCAGTTTGAACCACACATAGTGCCAAGGATGTGAAGCCAGAGCTCCAGATTAGCTGCGTATTTGCGTGAGCAAGCAATAAAAAAAATTGAAAACCCAATTCAATTGACGATTGCAGCGTTCAAAAACCCAATTCATGCAAAGGAAAACCCAATTATATGTCAAAACCATGCGTTCTTAACCCTTCTAGTCGCTATCGTGTGCGTTATTTACCCTTATCTATTACATTGTCGTCGCGTAAATCTATTTTTGTAATATTTATGATTGGAAATGTCCTTTCATTCTAAAAATAAACACATATTTCGATCTTCTCTGCATTTATCCAATTAGCATAAGTCATGTGATCATAATTATTTGCGTATTGATCGGGATTTATCGTTACACATCAATGCACATAGCAATGAATTAAAACGAAAGTAAATTTTCGGTAAATATATTGAATAGGAGCATGATTTCAGCTTCTTTTTGATAGCTGAGGGAAAATTATGATGATAACAAAACTCAGCTAGTGTTATCAGGAAGCGTCCCTCGGACGCACAGGTTCGTGCAATGTCGCGTCCAGGGCTAGTATGCGTGCCTGAACGAGAACATTAATTGTTACTGTTAGTACAACACGGGTTTGGTCTCCATATGACTAATCAGTGGTGCAAGAACTAAATCAGTCGGAACAGTTAAAGGCCAAATCAATTAATATAGTTGAAAATCAATGGAAACCAAAAGTTCTAATAAGGGACAACTAAAGACCAGATTTATGTAAATAAAATTAAACAAAAACATTCAAGTACCGGGTATTATTTTAGTTTTAAAAGAGTATTTTTTTTTCTTCTTCATTTTAGTTGATGAGTGAACACACATATTCGTTTTGACGTAAATGTAGCTTGCCACTTTCTTTGTTTTTGGTCTAATTGTTCTTATGCTATAGATAGTAGTCTTATTGGCAAGTGCGCATGCAGTACAACATTGTCATTTATTAATTTGATGTTGCAGGATTATTTAAATTGAATGTAGTCTCAGTCATTACCCCCCCCCCCCCCCCCCCGCAGGTCATATCCTTTACCTGGTAGTTCTAGTCAAGGTTTTATGGTGTATCTTAAATCAATTATGGGAACTACTTATAATTTAAAGAAAAAGTAGGTCTGGCAAACAGTTGATAGGACTGGTAGACTGTCTTACAGGACACAATGTTCACAAATACTACATAAAAGTCTAAAAACTTAGCCACACCTACTCCAAATAAACTGACAGGTGATAGTATGTGCTCTAGAAAAGTAATTAGTTACTGTCCCACTAGTGACACCAGTTTATGCAAGTTGAGAGAAAATCCAAACGGTTTAAACTAGACACAAATTAAACGAACAATTGCTTGTAAGGGTATAAACTAAATAAAACAGCTATCACATATATATAATGAAAGAAACATATTTAAGATGGATGAACATCTCCGTTTGATGTAATTTCATTATAACATACCTAAATCTTGTTGATGAAAAAACCCAATACATTAAGGAGCTTGGTGGTGAAAAACTCAATTTGATATTTGCTTGAGGGGTGAATTAGAATTAATAATGCAATTGAAAAAACTATTTCACTCAATTACATAAAAAATGGTGGGTAAAAACCCCAATTTGTAAATTCTTATCTGGAGCTCTGTGAAGCTTAGCTTTCTCATTTAAAACATGTCTTAAATTCAAACAATTTTTATTGAAAATGATTGCTATAATCATGACATACTTTAATTTCATGAAATTTTCTTTATGTACATGGTTTCACCCTTAAGATTTTTTGTACTGTGTGTCCACAATTAGGAATCCCCTGTTTTGACAGTTCTTAAAATGTCTGGTGATTTCAAGCATGCCTTCTAAAAATAGCTAATTTTTAATACAGGAAAGGTTTTATACTACAAAATTTAGTTCAGTGTGAACAAAACAGACTGCCAAGGATGCGGAGCAAAATTTTTTTAATTTTGATAAAAATTTTACTTAAAATGAAACCAATTTTATTTGATGATGAATTTTTTTTTTAATGGAAAATGGCGAAATATGGTTAATCATGTGATTGCAAATATAAATCTATGCTCAGACTTATCAATTTTAATCTTTTTTGTCCCTTCAGAAGACTAAAACAATTACAAGGACAATTCTTCTTGTGTAACATTGTGGATATGATGAAATCAGGTGATGCACGATATCACCAGTCGTGCAGACACAGGGGTTCCACTGTATATCTATTTAAGTAAAAATATCAAATGACTTTAGTAATATTGCACTAGTAAGAAGTTGCATTCAGACAGAAATAGCGTGAATGGAGAAATCAGAATGAAACAAAACAAAGAATTACTTCCCTGTTTCAAGATACAAAAATGTGCTGCCTACTTTCACTTTTAGATTACAAAGTACATGATGTTTGGGGGTCTGTTTCCAACTTAATAATTACAAAATAAATTTAGCTTATTAACGTTTTAGGATTGAACAATTTAGTTGTTGTTGAGCCTGATCAATAGCCCTAAATTGCTTAATATTGATATAAAATTTGATATTATTGGGGTCCAAATTTAGATGGCCAAATATTAATTTATTTATCCAGTCTTTTATTACACATGTTGTATGTAACAGGTGTTAGGAAATATTGCCTATTTAAATCAAATGAACAGCGTTTTATTGTTGTTTTCTTGGTTAATAAGCTTGTGAAATGCTTACAGAAACTTATTTTACACAACGACAAAATGTCAAATGTTATAATCAGGTGACACTGTCTGATCGTGATCAGGATCGCTTCCTGATACAAGTCATGTTTACAAACATTTACCGTGAAATGTATGCCTTCAACGCTTCCTACAGCGTAGCACTGATCACCAGGATTACATGCACCCGTTAGGACCTGATGTCGGTTCATGTTTTTCTACTTCTTTTCAGTTAACATCACATGTTTAGCATGTAAATATGTAATCATCGAAACTCCTCCTCAGTCGTCGCCATAATGGGTCAATTTTAACAGGGGAGCTAATCTGACGACCAAAGATTGCAGCACAATCAAACAGTTTCTTTCCAAGTTCTAAAATATAATAATAATAATAAAATTCTTTATTTAACGAAGGTAACTCATTTAACAATGACATGTTAATCTTCCCTGAGGCCTTCAAAAACTATTAATACACTGAATAGAAAGGGAAAAAAAATACAAACAAAATAAAATACATAATACGTTATATAAATAATAGTCATATTTGACAAACAGAAAACAGGTTGTAGAGTGAGAGACCCATATTCGCCGCATAATTCGTTCATTTCTACTTTCATCCGACCTACATTCGAATATTTGGAACTTTTTATGAAGGTTTCAGAAATTTAACTACATGAAAAAAATGTTTTGTAAAGAAATTATCTTTAAAACATTGGTTATTTGTTCTAAAAACGAACACAGACTCAAGAGTTAATCAAGTTGTTCGTGTATCATGGGGGACACATTTTCGCCGCAATGTATGATATGACCATCCTCATTATCCTGGTATATTATAAAAACGAATGTTTGCAATTACATGAATTAGCTTGAGAGATCATTCCTATACGATTTTTCTCACAAATATCTACTTTAAGACTGCGCATGATTGCCATATCATGAAATCTTACATGATTGCCAAAATCATATAAAAACACCTGCGTATTTCTCAGTATGTGCGAATAACCTTGGAATTCAGGGGTAAAGAGGAATATCAACAGTCGTAACATTACAAACAGCCTTTACCATCTATTTAGGCAAGTATTGGGTAAAGGCACACAAATTTTACAGAAAAAATAGCAAAACGGCGAAAATGTGTCCAAGGCGAATATGAGCCACCCACTCTAAGTGTAAATGGGGTGATTTCAGAAGTGTGTAATATTACATGTGGTGTCCCTCAAGGTAGCTTACTGGGTCCACTTTTGTTTTTGATCTATGTCAATGATGTTCAAACTAGCATCGACTCAGACTGTAAAGTTTTGGTATATGCAGATGATACTGCAATTTTATTTTCCCATATAGACCCTGGGGTCATCTCGCATAAATTATCCAGAATGCTGGAATCATGCCATGATTGCGGTTAACTGACAATAAATTGTCCCTACATTTGCGAAAGACGGAGAGTATAGTTTTTGGTCCTGGTCGAAAACTTCGGTCTTTAATACCGGGTGATTTTGCTATCTCCTGTAATGGTATTAATATTGAATCCAAAACTTTTGTAAAATATTTGGTAATAATAATTGATCAGTTTTTAACTGGTGATTTTATTGCCAACTCTATAGTGAAAAAAGTCAATAAAAGGCTTAAATTTTTATATAGAAACAAAGAATGTCTAAATTTTCAATCTAGGAAAACTTTGTGCTCTTCACTGATTCAATGTCATTTTGACTATGCATGTGCATGCTGGTATGAAGGTATATCAAAACAAATGAAGAATAAACTTCAAGTGGCACAAAATAAGATTGTGAGATTTATTCTGCAATTACATCCCAGAAAGAGTGTGACATATATTGAATTTAAGAAATTGGGCTTTTTAGATATTAGTAATAGAGTCAAACAACTAAGACTCAATCATGTTTTCAACATTTTTAACAATATATGCCCAAATTATTTACATACTAATTTTGTTAAAATGAAACATCTTTCAATACAAGATCTAGTAGTAAAAAACTTTTATATACCAGGAATTAAAGGGTGTGAATCCACCACTTTCTTTTATAATGGAATAAAAGACTGGAATTCGTTACCAGACATGATTAAAAGTTGCTCTAAAAAATATAATTTTAAAGTACAAGTGAAAAAGTTTTTGATGGATAAATTTAAATCCATCTTTAATAGTGAATTTGTTTTCTATTAATTATACTGGGGCTTTGACCATATATCTGTGATAAATTCTAAATGATTTGTGCTTGTATTTTCTATATGTCAACCCTTGGTGTAAACTGGAAGTCTCGTTATAAAAGGACCCCACTGGAAATAAGTTTTAATAACTTTTGTGGGTCATCCTAAGATATTAGGCTACAGTGAAAAATCTAGTCAATTTAAATTTCACTCATTATTAAATCTAGTCTATTCATATTATCAAAATATCATGAACATTTTCATAATTTTATTTTTTAAATTAAAATTTTTATCAAACATGTATATCATTTTAGTGTCTATAAACTATGTCTAGTGCTATATCTGTGTCTTTGTAATATTTTGTATCTGTCAAATTCATGCCTTTTTATCTTGAATAAATATATATATATATATATATAAAGCAGCTTAACAAGTTGAATAAGTACATATGCATTCAATAAAAGAAAAAAAAATACATTAGATTCATTTATTTTCATTCTGTAATATATTATTTGGCAAATTATTCCAGGTAATAAGACCAGAATATTTAAATGTTCTTTTAAAAAATTAGAATTAGGTCTTGGTACAAGAAGAAGTCCTGATGTTGTCGACCTGAGACAATAATTATAAAGATCAGTACAAGCAGTAAATTTAATAGATAGATAATCAGGTGCTAGACCATTCATACATTTAAACATTAACACAGCTTGAAAATATTGTATCCTCGTAAATATAGTCATCCATTCAAGCTTTTTAAACTTTAAAGTTGATGGAAAATCAAAAGAAACAGATAAAACTAATCTTACAGCACGTTTTTGGAGATTATGTATCCTTTCCAGATTACAGTTTGTGGTAAGACCCCATACTGTACATGTACAACAGTAGTCATAATGGGTAATATATAGCTATTGTAAAAAAGAATAAGACCCTTTAATGGTAAATAACGTTTCAAACTTTTTAACAGGTATATTCTGGTTGAAATAGTTTCACATATTTTATCAATTTGATTTGATCATGATAGATTTTTATCAATATGAATTCCAAGAAGTTTTTCAACTTCAACATTATCTAAAGCGATATTATCTTGTGATAAAACACATAAACATTCATTGCAGCTTTGCAGTTTTCTGTCTGATCCAACAAGCATACATTTTGATTTCTTGCTATTTATCGTCATATCATTTTCTTTACACCATTTAATAACATTTTCTAAGTCTTTATTCAAACATATATTTATATTTACAATAGATTTAGATGACAAATGCAAATTTGTATCATCAGCATATAGATCAGATTCTGTATATTCTAAAGTTAATGGTAAGTCATTGATATAAACAAGGAACAATAAAGGTCCAAGTGTTGAACCTTTGGCGAACTCCAATGATGATATATGAATACCCCTGCATTCTATTTTACATAAACAACAACATTTACTAATTGATACCGATAAATTGGGTCCTTGATAAGATTTTAAATTTTAACAATATATTTAATGTATGGAACCCCATGTGATTGTTGAACTTTTTATCAGTATTGACAAAAATAATCCTTATCACATTAATTACTTTTAAATTATTGGACACTGTTTAACACACCAATTAAACTTTTATCCATTTTAAAATATAATGTTTTAATCTTATGTCAGTCTGCTATGTACAGTGTATATACAAGTTTTACCTTTTATCCTCTTTATCCTTATTATTTTACTGTATTTTACCCTAACATAGTTAAAGTATCTTAATCTATTAATTTTTTAAAGTAACGCATTTTTTAAAAATATAAATAATAATATTTTTAATGCGGTGACCCTGCAAATAGGGTGGACTTCCAGAAGAAGAAGAAGATATAAGGAACCGAAGTAAAAGAGTCTGCACAGAGAAATAATTCTTTCTGATATTGCAGAAAGACTTATTTCTCTGTGCAGACTCTTTGCAGATGACACGTCGTTCAGCTGTGCGGATCGTGATGCATTGCATTGACCTACCGAATTAGGCTATTTACCCCTATTTGTGACATTTTTACCTGTTGTTTTTGTTTGTTTTGTTCACACATCGTTGTCAATATATAATGGAATATTTGATGCGACTGTCATACAAGTGAGAAGTTTAGCTAGCTTTAAAACCAGGTTCAATCCACCATTTTCTACATAAGAAAATGCCTGTACCAAGTCAGGAATATGACAGTTGTTATCCATTCGTTTGATGTGTTTGAACTTTGATTTTGCCATTTGATTGGGGACTTTCCTTTTTGAATTTTCCTCGGAGTTAAGTATTTTTGTGATTTTACTTTTTGCAAATAGAAACTGTGATAAACCATGATCTGGATAAGCTGAACGAATGATCCAAAAAATGGTTAGTGTCTTTTAATTCAGATAAAACAGAAATTATGTTATTTTCTAATGTTGAAATCCCAGAAATGAACTTTATATTCAATGATAAAAATATACCTATTACAAATATTCATAAACATTTAGGGGTTATATTTAGCAATGATGCTAAATGGAATGTCCACGTTGATAACATTATCTTAAGCACATCTAAACATATAAATATGCTAAGGAAGTTGAAATATAAACTGAGCAGAAAAAAATTAGTAAAACTCTATTTAGTTTTTATAAGACCTTTATTTGAGTATGCCAGTGAAGTTTGGGATAATATTGGGGTAGGTTATATCAATAAACTGGAGCAATTACAGCTCCAAGCTGCTAGAATAGTTACGGGGTTTAATACCTATATTCATAAGCTCAAGGGTTATTTATGAAGAACTTGGATGGGAAACATTAGCTGAAAGAAGAGAGAGAAAAAAAATTCAAATGTTTTATAATATTCAAAAAAATAATGTTCCAGAATATTTGACAAATTTAATTCCCCCAAAAATCCAAAGTATGACGGTCTATCCTCTACGCAATGGAAATGACACCATTATTCCATTCTGCAGACTAGCATTGACCAATGATTCATTTATTCCACCAACCATACGTCTTTGGAATAATCTTGATGATCCAACTCGTGATGCGGAATCAATAAATAAATTTAAAACGACAAAAAAAAAAAAAAAAAAAAAAAAAATTTACCCTCAGAGTAACATATTTGTACCGAAGCAATATGAGTTTGGAATTCGAAAACTGAATATTATTCTAACCCAAC